ACTTCAGCTTAATTTATTTTATAAATAAAAAAGTTAATTTTTTTAATACCTAATTTATGTTTCGCGTAGTTTGAAAAGTTTAACATATTTGAAGCGAGTCTTCTTAGTAAGATAAACAAATGGAATAATTAAATCATTGAAATACTATAGGAATTAAATTATCAAGATAGAAATCAACTAAAAAGGTTAAAAATACTTAATGACCAGGAAGCGAAACTGCTTCACAATATCGGTAATGATGTTTAGTGAGTGGGCTTTTTAATTTTAATTAGTATTTAAAGCAGAAAAAAGAATAACGAGTTTTAAGAATGGCAACTTGAGCGAAAATAATTAGAGTTAGTAAACCAATATCTAGAAACTTTTCTTTATATCTATTTATTTGCTATTATATATTTGTGTTCTGTCGTGACCTCAGGCGCGATGCTTGTTCATCCGCGAGTTACTTTGTATGCGTTGTTTATGTAACAAACATATAAACTTCTTATATGTTTGTTACATAATTAGTTTTAACTTTAACGATTATAACTTCATTGAAAACGCAATTATTTATGTAAGTCTTTGTTTAAATCATAAAATTGCTTTAAAAGATACGTTACCATAAAAAACAAATACACAAAATTACATTTGCATAAAGAATACAATCTCTTTTAAAATAAAAAATAAAAATATACTCATAAAATCTATGATTTATAATAAACTTTTAAAACTTTAACAATTTAATTAATATATATTTAAAACATTTATTTTCGTAAACAAATAATATATATTCTTAAAACAATGCTATCGTGGATAATACAATTTCAAAAACATTTTAGCAGAATACTCTGAAACTTTATTTCGCTTAATAAGCGTATTTTTTGAACCAATAGAATAAGTTTGTTTGTTAATTTGGCGGGTTTTTAGTGTTCGCAAATATTCTTTTTATTCTTTCGCACAATGATGTTTCGAGAACATTCAAGTTTTTTATGTTTCCATGTATGTCCGTAAAACAAAAATTCTTTGTTTCGTACATAAACTTAAATGTTCTCAAAACGACTAAAAAACCTGGCCAGTTTTACGCATCTAAATATAATTTCCGTGGTCAGTATTCGAGAGCGATCGCTCCCGCTTCCCGACCAAGCCTGTAGACTCAAATGCGATCAAATGTTCTGGTTTTGACACAATTAGTGAAACATGCAAATGCAGAAACAATTAAACATTTGGTTGAAGCTGTTTGAATTTGGTAGTAGCTAGTATGAACTCACAACACAGTCAAAATAAGTAACAAGCAATAATCACAATGTTTTTTTTAATCCACTTTGCCATAATCAGTTTTTATATACCAAAAAATTCTCAATGAAGTGTTGGATAATATCAAAGATTTGGTTGATAATGATAAGGAAGTTAAAATAGAAGAAGATCAAATATGTCATTCACTTTAATAATGACATAAATATGTCATTATTAAAATAAATGACATATTTATGGCATATTCATTTTCATTGTCATGACTTTGATCAAACTAGTATTTAGGATGTGTTATAAGAATGTTTGAAAAATCAACTATCAATCAAGAAAGCTTTTTTTTTTTAATATTTAATTTTACAATTTTACAATTTTCAAATTTTTTTTAAATTCTATCCAAGTTTATTAAAAAATTCTTAATTGAATTGAACTTTGATCTCATTTCAGAATATGATATTATTATGCTACAAAATCTCGAATTAAAAAATCAAGGATAAAAAATATCAAGAATTATTTCTTGTCATTAAGTTCTCAGTTTATTAAAAGCCGTGAACACTATTTTAATGAAATGGTCAATTTATCATATTGCAAGAATTAATGAAAAAACAAAACAATAAATTTACTACCGCAAAAATAATAACAATCAAAACTTATATATTTTGAAGTATTGTTTTTTTTTAACACCAGGTAATTTAAGAATTATAAATAAAAAAAAAAAGTTATAGCAAAAAAAATAATAATTACTTCAAAAAACTTTAGCAATAATTTAAAAATCAACTAATAAGAAATTATACTAAAGCTATTTGCGCTTTGTATGAAACATTAAAATCAAATTTTGTTTAGGGGAAAAGTTTGTGGAATCATTTATTTAAAAATTTAAATATTTTAAATTTTAAAATAATTAATTAGTAATAAAAATAATAATAATAAAGATATATTTTTGAATAAGCTATTAGACTATTAGATTGAAACTCCTCTCTTTAATGTTGTAAACATCTGCAAAAAAGTTAGGAGCATTTAATTTATAGAAAAATATTGATTAAGATTTATAAAAAGTACATATAAAAGTATTTTATATCTTATTTCATGATTTCTTTCATTTAAAATATCTGAGATCACCACCAAGTTCCTTTTAGATTGTTGTAATCGTATTGTATTTACTATGTAATATTGTTTAATTACATATTAATTAATTATTACAAATTACAAATTAAATAATTATTAAATAATTTAATTAAATTGTAAATTTTAAAAGTAATAAAAAAAGTAATTAGTATGGTTTTAAATCATAGTTTTAAATCATAATTCAAGATCTATAAATTATTGCTGAACTTAGTAATAGTAGTAGTAGTAGTAGTAGTAGTAGTAGTAGTAGTAGTAGTAGTAGTAGTAGTAGTAGTAGTAGTAGTAGTAGTAGTAGTAGTAGTAGTAGTAGTAGTAGTAGTAGTAGTAGTATCGCCCTTTTGAGCATGTTTTGAGCATGGTTGACTCTTGGCAGCCATTGCAATTGTGAACGAAAGTTTATAAGAAAATGTGAACGAAAGTGTATGCAAATATCTAATGTACGTAAACCTCAAATTAATGAAATGTTAAAACATACTTAAACATATACCAAGTTTTACAGTTTGACCTTTACTTGAAAATTGCATTGCATCAACTTCTCCTTAACTTTTAATCTACAGCATTTTTTTCATTAAAAAATTTTTTATATAATTTTAAAATATCGATAGTCAACATGTCAGCATGGCCAAGTGGTTAGCACGCTGAGCTTCTGAACAAAAAAGCTGTGGTTCGAGTCCAACCACCACTTTTTTTTTTTTTTTTTTTTTTAGGTTTTTCAAAATGCAAAATACCTTTGAAGTTTTATAAAGACTATATACAGTAGCTTTCATAAATTTAGACGCATTTATTTTATTTTCATATATGTAAGAAAATACTCAAAATAAAAATAAAATAAAAGTACTACCGCTATGTTTGATATATAATTTACAAGAGGAAGTGAAACTCTATTTATGAGTACCTTAATTTTTTTTTACAGGATGTTTATTACTCATTCTTTACCGATTAACACAAAAAAGTTAATTGATAAGCTTGATTTTATTTTGTTCATAAATTTAGACGCACAACCAAAATAGTCTTATATCTTGTTAATTGATAGTTTCATCAATACTCCATCAAAATAGTTTTATACTCCATTGTTTTTTGACTTTTTGACTGATCCTTAATCTAAACTTTTAAATAAGGGATCATCCATAAATTATGTAATGCTAAATTTTACTAATGAACAAAACAAAAAAAATCAAAATTTTCCCTTGCAGAGTCGTATGTTAAATAAAAAATCAAAATATCTAATTAAGTTTAATGAAAATTGCCACCTAAAAAAACTGAAGATCTTTTTTTAAAAATAAATTTAGTGTTGCATAATTTATGGACTGTCTCTTTGCAAATTCAGAATAAGGGTTGGCATTTGGCAAAACCGACCTAACTGCTGACCTAAAAGTGTTTGAGGTCGACAATTTTTTGCCGACCTTGTTTCTATATTTTATGGTCAGACCTTTATATCAAATAATTTTTGACGACCTCTAAAAGATTGAGATTAGCAAATTATTGTCAACCTCATTTTTCCTAATTCCGAGGGTTGCCTTAGCGTTTTATAGTCTATAGTTTTTAATGGTCTAAGATCTTCTTAGTTTTGCTATTTGTCTAGCGTTGCGTACAAATGTTTTTAGCATATGTTGAGTTTGTATATGGAACAATTGGGTATAATAAATTTATAAAAATGAGAAAGCTTTTGAATTTTATTTTAACATTTCTAGCAATAACAAATCTTTTTTGCCATATTAATATTTTATTTGCTATAAATATTGCTATAGTTATTATAGATACTATTATAAAATTTTTGCTAAATATTGTTATAAATACAGTAAGATGGAAAAGTTTTCAAAATTTATAAGGGGATGTATTTAATCCCCCAAAACAACACAGATGACAGCGCACTAAACCACTGAGCTATCAATGGTATGCGCTTAAGAGAGAAACAAACCTTATTATAAATCTTTTATAAGCCCTAGGTATGCTGAAAAGGTGTGCATGTTAATTTTTTTGTTCTTAAAACAATTTTTTTAAATGAATTTTTTTATGTAAAAATATCAAAGTAAACAAATAATATGTATAGAAATGATCTGTGATAAGTATAGAAATGGTAGATTTGGTAAAGACCCATATTTTATAAGTCCCGAAAGCTACAATATATATATATATTATATATATATATATATATATATATATATATATATATATATATATATATATAAGGAAAAAGTATAAAAAAAGTCCGTGTGAAATAGTCCCATATTTTTATGGGTCAGATCAGCTGATCAATATAAATATTCTTTATTAAATATTGTATTTAGTGATAAAAACAGACTTTGAGGTTTTTAAAAACTAAAAATTTAATAACCAGAAGCATTTCCAGATATTGCAATTTGCTATTACTTAATTCAAGCCTTGAAAACCTTGTTAAAGTTATCGCCCTAGTCGAAACAATTGGATTGGATCGAAACAAAAGCTTTTATTTTTTAAACTCTTTTACGCTTTGACAGATGTTTTTTAATTTTTTAATAAATTTTAAATTTTTTGATGTTTTAAAAAATATTTTCTAAATAAGTCTCAGATATTTTTTTTTTTTTCAGATCTTCAAACTAACAATTAAAACAAATATTATAAAGCAAAACTTTTCGGTATTTACTCAAAAATGTTATATATTTTTAATATAGACTTGTGACTCCATATAGTCAGATAGAGTTTCGTGTAATGATGAAACAATCAATGCGAACAGACCAAGTTGTAGGCTCAACAAAAGTGGCTTTATATGATGTTCTTAAACAGAACAATGGAAAGTGTAAGTTATTTATATCTGTTATAAACTACAAGGTTTGTTAATTTTTCTAGATCTTAGGTGTTTTAAATTTTTAAGTGCTTTGGATATTTCATGGAACATTTTTCATGCTTGAACACAATTAAACACAACAAAAGTTTTTCTGTTGCACTAAATTTCATACACTCTGAAAAATATAACATCATGATGAAGTAATTTTAAAAAAATGACATAATAATGGAGTTATGGTTTATGTCTGTTCTAAGCCCCTCTAGCATGTATCAGTTCAATTTTTTAATTTTTTGAGGTTGAATGTTATAGATTTGCAGTGAATGTTTACTATATAAGTTAAAGATTTGAATCCCATTGCTACTGGTAATGCTACTTTAAAATTTTTTTCTGCACAGTGTTCATATTTTTAGGAGTTTGTATTTTGGAGTTATAGGGTTTAGAGAGGTTTGTAACATCAAGGAAAGGTTTGTAACATTAAGAGAGGCTCGTAACATCAAAGAAATGGTTGTAACATCAAAAAGGGAGTTGTAGCATCAAAAATATTTAGACTTGTAGTGGTTGGTGAAAAGTTTGTTCTTTTTTATTGTGCAGAATATAATTTAAAATTATGAAGAATATAGGTAATAGTATTATTATGCAGAATACAGGTAATAATATTATTGTAGCAAACTCAGGTAATAATATTGAATAGATAAATAAAAATAATATTTTTGAAGCACAATTTTATTTATTAACAATTATCAAATGGAAAATGAGACAAAGTTTTACTTCAATCTTAAACTTTTTAAATTAAACTATTCAATTCATTGAATAATTTTAAGATCACTCATTCACTCTTTCAATGATTTTAATAAAACAATCTTAGAAGTTAAAATTTGCATTAACCAAAAACTTGTTTTTTTGATGGTGTAAAAAATCATGTTCTTAATTTTGTAAAAAATAGTTTAGAATATCAAAGAAAAAAATGAAATGTTTGAAAAGCTAAAAAATGTGCATAAAAAGTACTTTAGCTTTTAAACCATTTTAAAAATTTTATTTGTTTGATTGCTCTGATGGAGTTTCCCAGTTCAGTTCAGTTCATCAATCAGTTTAATACTACAATTGCAGCCATTATTGTGTTAGTCAAGTTCTTAGAAATAAAAAAGATATTAGGTTTTACAAGAAGTTAACAGAATTTCTAAATAGTTGTTATTTCTTATTATCCTTTCCCTTTTTTTTTTTTTAACAAATTTTTTTTAAACAAAGGTACCAGCAATTAAGTTAAAAGCTAACATAAAACAAAGAAGAAAAACAAAAAGAACAAATCCTGTAAATTGTATGAGTAACGAAAATAAAAAGATGTTTAGGAGATTAAAAAGTAGTATTAATAGTATTAAATAGTAGAATGATTAGAATAATAGAATTGTTAGATTGCGGTAGTGGAACTCTTAGATAGGATCATTGTTTAAGGATTAATAATTAGCTTGGAAAAACACTTGGGAATAGGATTAATTTATACAATAACTATGTGCATATTTTTTAAACTCTTTTTCCTACAAAATTTGTATGTGGTAACAGTATAGTGGTGATCAAATATATCAATTGACATTGTTCATTGACATGATATCACTGATATCATTAATATTTTTATCAATGATACATTATTTTTTTATAAATATATTTAATTTTAGTGGATATGTTTGAAAGCAAATGGCCGATCATTTACAAAGACAAAGGAAAAGATATATCCAGTGGAGATATTGATGTTTTGTTTGATAACATGCGGATTATTATGGATGAGTATCCACTGCTGAATAGGTTGGTATATAATTTTATTTATTCATTTTGTATTCATTTGTTTCTTATTTATTCATTATATTCACTCAATTTCTTTTAATATATATCTTAAGTAAAAAAGTATTTTTCAGCAATGTTAGTGCAGCTTCTACACCATCATCAGTATCTTTATCAAGCTCAGGTCCATCAGGATCTGCCACTAATATTTCAAATTCTAGAATTGCTCCACAATATAGCTCTCCTAATCTACCTGCAAATTTAAACCAACAACCAACCCCTTCAAGGCCACCAAGGCCAGTAACAAATAGCTTATCAAATGGACCAGGTAAAATATTACTGTTACTGGGTTATTTCTTAAATTTGTACTAACATTCATAAATATGTAATACATATATATATATGTCACACACATGCATATGTAATACATATATGTATGTAACATACATGCATATGTAATACATATATATATGTAATATACATACATATGTAATACATATATATATATACATATGTAACATACATACATACATATGTAATACATACATATATGTATCATACATACATATGTATTACATATATATATATATATATATATGTAACATACATACATATGTAATACATATATATATATGTAATACATATTAATACATATTCTGTGCATATACAGTAAAGTCCAAATGTTTTCGGATAGGCAAAAAAATAAGGATTTTACTTATATTTCAGTACATACTTCACTAAAGCCAACATATTATATACCAATTAAAAGGTTTTCAAGGTTACAATAAGGTTTTGAACAAATAATGATTATCTAATTAATATTTTTAAATCGGTATACAAATCAACGGTTTTTGATAACTCAGACAAAGCATCATTTTTTTAAATAGTATAAATATTTCAACAATATTTGATCAAAATTCATACAAAAGCAAAATTACGTCAGTATTTTGTAGGATATCTTTTACAATCAAGAATAGCTTGCTGTTTGGTTTTATTAAATAGATCAGCATAATTTGTATGCTTGATTCCTTTCATTTGACGATTAACATGTTCCCATAGATGTTCAATGGGATTTAAGTCAGGTGATTGGGATGGCCACCTCAAAACATTAACTTTACTCTCTTTGAAAAACTCTAAAAACGATTTGGCTGTATGTTTGGGATCGTTATCCTGTTGATATATCCATCCTCAAGTCGTTTTATCCTTTGCATATGGTAATATAATATTCTTACATATATCTTTGTACTTTTTTTGATTCATAGTCTCAGTAATTCTATGGAGAGGACCAACTTCATTTTGGCTAAAACATCCTCAAATCATTACATTACCTCCTCCATGTTTTACGGTAGGCTGGATATGAAATACATGTCTTAGATCCCATGATCTCAATCACTTATAAATAAAATTTTTAAATTATTTCCACAAAGTATTTGTTTATAAAATCAGCAAGTTAGTTATTTTGTAGTAAAAATGTTAAAAGCTTTAGCATATATATATATATATATATATATATATATATATATATATATATATATATATATATATATATATATATATATATATATATATATATATATATATATATATATATATATATATATATATATGTTTATATTTATATATAAGTATACGTTTCCTTATTTTGCCCAAATTTTTTATTCCGTGAATTCCAAAAATATTTACAGACATTCCCACAATTTATTATATTTAAACCTAGAGTTCTGAATACAAAAGATTTCAGGGGTTAAAAATATATTTCACAGATTTCAGTGGAAATGATATGAATGCTTTAAACAATTTTATATTATTCATACTGTATCAAATTTCACAGCATTATAACAAATCTTTTGAAATCTTTTGTAATACGATATAGACCGAAATCCTCTTTGTTATAATGCTGTGAAATTCGATACAGTATGAAAATACTTAATAATTCGCAGTATCATCAAATGCTCCCATCATTACATCGAACAATCCTCCTTTTTTTAAATTACTTTAGTAATTAGTCCTACAATATAAATAAATAATAATATATAATAAATATATATAGCTGTATTATATAATAATATTGAGTACTGTAACACGTACGAGAGTCTTCATATTATTACATCAAAATACTTAATCTCGAAGATATTTTATATTTCTATATCTATACAAATATATATATATATAAATATATATATAAATATATATATATATATATATATATATATATATATATATATATATATATATATATATCTATACAAATATATATATATATATATAAATATATATATATATATATATATATATATATATATATATATATATATATATATATATATATATATATATATATATATATATATATATATATATATATATATATATATATATATATATTAGGGGTGTCCAAAAAAACTTTTTTTGAATTAAATGTTGCACAGTTTTAAATATTGTTTCTTTGATTGAAAAAAAATTCTGTGCAAAATCTTAGGTGTTTTGGATAATAGGTTGCTCAAGCAAAATAAAAATTTACTGTGTTAAAAGCATGCGCTGCAACAACAATATTTAAAAAACTTGAGTTATAGCTATGATAAACAATTAATCATTTTCAAAAAATTTCTTAAATAATGCAAATAACATTCAAATGTTGCACTATTTACAAGATCAAAAGTTTAGTCCGTAGCAACAGTGGCATATGTCATCAAGATGCTTTTGCAGCAATCTGGAATGCGTTTTCTGTTGTCCTCAACAACTTGTATTAGTTTCTGCATTCAGTTTTTGTGATGGATTGATTAAATGTGCTCATAAGAGCAACAGAACGCTCAGCAGTGTCATTGATAACTTTCACAGATTTAACAATGGCTTTAGTATAATGAAAATCAACAATTTCCTCCAAGGTCTTTGGATCGGTTCCAGATAAAATTGTTACATCGGGACCAAGTGACTGCAAAGCAGCAGTTGATGATGATGTAACAAGCTCATGAAGTTGCTTTTTTTCCAACTTGTTTAATTCTGCTGCTGGACACTTTATACTCCTGACACTCCAATCAGCTCCTCTTTGAATCATTGCTTCAACAATCAACTTTTTTTCTGTGTCACAAACCCTGTCAGAAAATAATGAAAGTGGAATCATAATAATAAACACTGGGAAAAAATTTTTTTCTCTGATCTGAATGCACAAAATAAACTAGTGTGCATTCAGATCAGAGAAAAAAAATTTTTCCCAGTGTTTATGTAAACACCCCTTATATATATATATATATATATATATATATATATATATATATATATATATATATATATATATATATATATATATATATATATATATATATATATATATATATATATATATATATATATATTGCCACAAGCTCTGCTGCCTTGCAGAGTGTGCTCTTCTTATGCAAAGGCTAGGAGAAATAAACTCCGACTAAAAATTTCCCTGCCTTGGGGCTCTTGGTTGAGTAAAGGCTAGAGATGGTGTCTCAATAAAAACACTCATCTTGGGCAGATATTAACTGCATCCAGCTAAACATCCCCTGCCTTGGGGCTCTTGGTTGAGTAAAGGCTAGAGATGGTGTCTCGATAAAAACACTCATCTTAGGCAGATGTTAACTGCATCCAGCTAAACATCCCATGCCTTGGGGCTCTTGGTTGAGTAAAGGCTAGAGATGGTGTCTCGATAAAAATACTCATCTTGGGCAGATGTTAACTGCATCCAGCTACTGTCTTGTAGAAGGCCTCCTAGGCAAAGACTTTGGGGGTAAGCAGAAAAATTCTGCTAACCAGCCTCGAACCCCTTCTTCATCTATTAGGCTGGCGTAGATGTAACCTGTGTTACATTGTTTCCTGCCTAGGATGATGAATGCTGGATCTCCTTGACTCTACTCATAGAATTTTGCTTATGCCTCCTTGATAATGGCTATGCAACTCTTCCTGTTATCTCCATATGAGAGTACAGCTCTAAAACTCAGTTTAATGGTTCTGAGGCCGGCTGGTAGTAAGGTTTCCCGAACTCTGTGGTAGCTCTCAGAGAGGCTGATTATTCCATCAACAGCTGCAAAATATCAAAGTATTAACAGTGCCATGTTGCGCATGGATGGTGTCCCTGTTAATGCTTTTGGTGTGCATTGTCAAGGCCACATAAGGAGCCCTATGTCACGGCTTAGGGTTAATTAACAGGACTGAGACAACTGCATAGCTCATTGATTAGAAGGCTGTGCTCTATCTATGAATGAGTCAAGTTCTCATTAAACCCAAATCATGACCAAAGTAACCAAAAATTTAAAACCTAAAAAACCATCCCCACCACCTAAATATTTTAATATATCTTTTACAAATATTCGCGGTCTACGAAGCAACTTTCCATCAGTTTAGTCTTATATGTGTGTATATATATATATATATATATATATATATATATATATATATATATATATATATATATATATATATACACACATACACATATAGATTCATCTTAAGATGAATATATGTATTAAACATTACCAGTATTATTTTCAAAAGATTATATGTAAAATGTTTGTTTTATGTATTAATAAAATTAGTTTAACATAAATTAAATATAATAAATACAAATAGCACAGTAATTTTTAACAAATAAAATTTAACTAGTAGAATCATAAGTTACTACTGGTTACCATTTTTGAATGTTTTAACAATAATTTCTTTGTGTTTTTATTATTAGTTCCACCACGTCCTCCTCCTCCAACCAATCCAAGAGTCGGATCAAATGATAATGAGGAACCGTTGCCTCCTGGGTATGTTTTCTCTTTTGTTGTTCTTAAACTGTAAGTTTTTCTATACATATTGTTTTAGTAGATTTTTATATAAGCATTACAAAAGTTGTATGATCAACAACACAATTGTAATAACAACAACAATTGAATTAACTCCCCTAATAGCATATCTTATAGTACAATACAACAGTAATAGCATATCTTATAGTGCAATACAACAGTAATAGCATATCTTATAGTACAATACAACAGTAATAGCATATCTTATATACAGACCTATCATTAGCATTTTTGTAATTTCTATTTTAAATTCTAACTTTAAATCAAATCTTTAAAAAAATATTGTTAGAACATAAACTTGAAGTAATGTCAGATAACAATCAGTTTTTTGTTTTGTTAAGGTGGGAGCGACGAGTTGATCAGTATAATAGAGTCTACTACGTCGATCATACTACACGATCAACACTTTGGGAAAGACCAAAACCATTACCTGCTGGGTAAATTGTTTTTTGTTTAGTTCTCTATAAATTTTAATTTCATGAAATTACCACTTTACAACTATTTTTGCTATTATTATTATTATTATTATTATTATTATTATTACTATTGTTGCTATTATTACTATTATTATTATTATTATTATTATTAATATTATTATTATTATTACCCATATAATTCAATATATTTTAGTAAACAGCAAAAACTTATTAGATTTAAATTCTTGACTTTTGGTTAACAGTTATTTTACTTAAAAACTATACTTATTTACTTCAATATTTTTTACCTAATAAAAGTATCTTTGACATAGAATTCAGTTTCGTAACATTTCCTGGAGGAAATTTATTGCATAACATAGAAGACAGTTGCATAACATTTTTTCAGATTTGGAAACTTAAGACTATAATTAGATTAATATTTATTTAAAAATATTTATTAAAAAATAGACACGGAAAACGAGCCGAAGGGGCCTAGTTATTTAAATAAGTTAGCTCTATCTGTTTGACATCTTTTATTGAAGTCTTTCTGTAAAAAAAACCTTTAACAAATTCGTTTAATTAAGCTGTTTTTAATGCTGATTTTTGGCAATTAAATTTTTATTATTTCTGTTGTTTGTGCCAAATATCGATACTTAATACAAATGGAAACTGTCTTATTATAATCACCTAAGGTGATAAAAGCATAAACAGTTTCCATTAACATACAAAAATATAATAGAAATATAAAAAAACAAAGCAAAAAAGGCCAATACATCTATACAAAAAAATAATTCCAAAGAGAAAAAAATTATACAAATTTATTTGAGAAACAAAAAACATAATTTTCTTGAGATAAATAAAAAATTTTAATTTTTTTGTTTATTAAAAAAAATTATCTTTTATTTTACTTAAAAGCATTTATTGTACTATGTAATGTATACATTTATTGTACTATGTAAAATGTACAACTACTTTAGTGATAATTAATATATTCAACTAAATCAATTTTAGATGGGAAATGAGAGTTGATGGTCGCGGTAGGACGTACTATGTTGACCATAACACACGGACAACAACGTGGCAGCGGCCTACTGCAGAAACAGTAAATGCATATAATATGTGGAGAACACAACAACAGTCGAATCTAAATCAAGAACATTCATTATATCAACAGCGTTATCTTAACATGGTTATAATAATATTAAATTTCTATTAACATTATTAAATAGCTATTTGTGATTTTTTTTTTTTTTTTAATAAATAAAAATCACTGGTAAAGTTTTTTTTTAACTTTTTTTTATTTCAATTTTTTTAAACTAATTGCATTAATAATATTTAATTATTTTGTTAGAATATGGAAAATCCACAACCTGATGTTACAGATCCTCTTGGTCCTTTACCACCTGGCTGGGGTATTTTACTTTGTTTAGCATACACATTGTAGTAGCCGTAGGTTCAAACCAAAAAAATTTAATTTCAAAAAGTGTAAAAAAATTTTGATTTCTTAAATTTAGAAAAGTTTCTTAAATTTAGAAAATATTTTTTCAAGATTCAAAAAAAAAAAATTTTTCAAGATTTCAAAAAAAAAAAAAATGCATTTTTGTAAAAACACCTTCAGCATATAAGGAAATATTTTTCCTTACATTTTTCCTAATTTACAAAATTTTGCAGTACATTAAATTGTTTTGTTTTCTTGTTGATTTGGCGCTCTGCAACATCAAAGGAACAATCTAAAACAAAGTTTTGCAAGCTGTGTATTGAATCACCTGCATCCACTTCAGATCGACTCTGCAACTCACTTATCTGAAATGTAATATTATATAATTACCATAAACTGTCTGTGCCTGCAGCCTGCGTAATATTTTAATATTTTCTTAGTTTTAAGTTAAAGAATTTTAGTTTGCTGCCTCAAGATTAATGTAGGGGTGTGGCAGGGGTAAACCTTATCCTACTGTACTTAAATATCTCTGGTATATAGATACTAGTCTTTATTTTGATTTTTGTCTGGTTGTTGTTCTGGGAAGTTTCCCTTTTTTTCCACTTTTACTAAAAACACAAACTAGAACACTCACATCTAGGTTAAATAGTTATAATAATAAAAACTTTTATTGTTAAAAAACCATATGATGCTGGAAGAAAAATCATATGATGCTGGAAGAAAAATCATTTGATATTGGAAAAAAAAAATCATATGATGCTGGAAGAAAAATCATTTGATGCTGGGAGAGCTGTTAGAGCTTTTTTTGAAAGACTTTTTTTTGTCATAAGAATGAGATGATTATCAATATCAGTGTGATAAGTGCGCTTGTGTGATAAGTGCGCTTTACGCCTTGTTATTTAGTTGCTTTTTAAATATTTTCTGTGCACACAGTTTTGAGAATGTTTATAAATGTTAATTAATAAATTAAAAAAACTCAAAATAACTTCTTTATGTAATAAACTTTTATCTTTGTATTTATAATTCATTTTTTAACCAGAGCCAAGATTTCAATTTACTTTACGATTTAACTGAAGCAAACTGTAATGCTTTTATATCTGCTGAGGTAGAGGAATGAACTTCTGAAAATAAGAATATAATGGACATTTATTATATAAAATCAATGTTAAATTTGATAAAGGATAATTAATATTTAAAAAAAAAAAACATTACACCAAGTAGATTAATAACCTTCCTTATATAAAATCAATGTTTATTAATAAATATTAGGGATCTCATCTTATATTCTTAGATATAAAAACTTTTTTAAAAAATTTTTTTGTTTTCTAAAGCCATACACAATACTTTAACAATAACTTATAGTTTTAATCCCTCTCACAATATGCAAAACAGGGGGCACTACAAAAACAGGGGGCACTTCACTATCTAATGTTATTGTAGGGAAAATTACAAGAGTAATAATTTAATTATGAAACATACCCAGTGCTCTCAAGTTTCCATCTTCACACAAGGAATATTGCTTTAATTCTTTAATTCTTTGGCTACAGATGAGAAGACTACTTAATTGCCCTCTCTCAACTCTATGACTCCGAAACACGCACATTGACAAACAAGGTCGCTGCGCAGAGAAACAAGTTGAGCGCAGTACTACCAGGGACATGGTGGGGATTGAGTCAAGGCAAAAATCTCACAATAATCTGAACCCTAATACATATAAAATAAATGAACATCATATACAGATCCTGATGATTTAAAATTGACAATTTCAAAATGGAATTTCACATACATTCCATCCTTGTCCCCAGTAAAACAAAATCATCAAAATTCTCTTTACGAAAACCATTATTAGAGTTGAGGCAGTTGTAAATTTGAAGAGTGTTAAAAACCTATTCAATATAAGTTTTCGAATTCTTAACTGTCAATACAGATACTAAACAAGATACTTCATTTGCTGATGGATAAAGCAACATGGAGTTCATGCTAACATGTTCTTTACGGACATAAATTGTCTGCATGTCTTGTTCTTGTCTTATCTTATGACGCTATACTCTTTAATTTACATTAACAATCTTCCATATGTTCTCACATTAAAGGTGAGAACATATGGAAGATCTTTAAACTCTCTAAATGCTTGGAAAGAGTCATTTGAACTTGAAAAGTTCAAATGACACTTTCCAATCTTTTTTTTCAGCTGATTTTTATCGCAATAATCTAGATTATTCTATATTTATCAATGGTAATGCATTTGATGCGTCATCTACCCTTCATCTTCTTGGATTAACTCTTTTGATCTTTTTTGCATACCAAATATCAAATCCATTGCAAAATTAGTATCTGCTAAGGTTGCATCTCTTTTTCGTGCTTAAAACCTTTTTACTCCGGATTCTATTCTTTATCTCTATAAATCTCAAATCCATCCTTGTATGGAATACTGTTGCCGTATCTGGGCAGATCTTCTAATGATGCCTTTTCTTTTTTAGACTAGGTGAAAAAACACATTGTAAACATAGTTAGACCTCCAGCCAACCTCCAACCATTATCAGATAGTCATAATGTTACTTCTCTTTCTCTTTTCTACAAATACTATATTGGCACTGCTCTAATAAGCAAGCGTTTTCTTGCACAATCTACTAAAATTCATTCTTGTGTTACTCAACATTTAATTTAGTCTCATCTTTTTACTGTGACTGTTCTTAAGTGCTCCAAAAACTCTTATTTTTCTAGATTTTTTTCCTTGAACATCAGTTCTTTGGAATTTGCTTTCTTCATCTTTCCTGATTCAAATACTTCATTCTTTTCTCTTCCAGTAACTTTCAGCTCTAATAGTGGTTACTTGCAGATTTGTTGGAAGTAAAGATGTTAAAAAAAAATCTGGGGTTCAGATAGGAGAATCCTTGCACCATGATTATACAGAATGCATCTTATCATTGAGAATTCAGCTGTTTGAATCCTTAGTTGGCTCTATAGCATCAGAAACCTTAAACAACTCAACCTAAATTAATTGCAAAACATTTAAAAAAATATCTCAACACAAGAGAGTTATAAAAAAACATAGACTAATCACTTTCTGAATTTCTTTCTGAAACTTCCCGAACAAGTTCATAATTTAAGGATTATGAAAGGAAGTTTAGATCGTTTATGATTTTTGAATTATTTTTTTCAAATTAAAAATTTTTTTTTAGCATGCATTTTTGGCGCCAAATTTACATTTTGCTTTTTTTAGTAGTGTTGTTATTGACTACAATTGAGTTAACTAAAAATCAACTATTCGAAAGTAGTCAACTTTAAAAAATGGAATAATTGATTTAATCAACTATCAACTTTTCATTCTATATAACTTTTCATATCTTTTCATTCTATATAACTTTTCAATCTTTAATTTTTGTTTATTTAATAACAATATTATAACTTAAAAACAAAACAATAGTACTATTATAACTTTTACCAAGTTTTTCTCTCATAAAGTTTTATCTAATTCATATCATATCAGCATTATTTATACCTAATTAAACTTTCGATTATGTATTTCATTAATTTTTTTATCTTTTGTTTACTCTGTTCTGATGCAGATCCTGATCCAACCAAATGGTTCATTGCCAGTTTCTGCATTAGCTCAAAGTAAAAATTGTATCATCAAGAGAACTTCGAGATGTAGCGATTTCTGAAAATATACCAAAAAACTTTTAAAATGTCAATTTTTCAACTCATTAATGTGGACAAAGCTTGTCTCTCAGCTCCTTGGTTATTTTGTGTGACATGAAGCTTGCAAACATAATTTGTGAATTTCAATCTCATAGTAGCAAACACCGATTGTTGTTGGTGTGAAATTGAGTCTTTAAAACTCACTACATGTGGAAAACTTTATATCTTTAAAAGCACTAGACAGCAATACCAGTTTTGTCCAATCTGGAGGTGATTTGAAAAAAGCCAAAGCTTTTTTTATGCTGCTCATCCTCCTTTGCTTCCTTTTCCTAACCAAACAGTTACTATGGAAGAACTTCTTCCCATGGAACTTCATTTACTTCTTGGTGTGGTCAATCACATTGTGAAAAGCCCTACTTGTGATTTTTATGAATATTTTCATACTGAGCTATATATGAAAGTATTCTTGGGGTCCTGGAGCAAAATTAAGTTGTGAAGCTCCAAAATCTAAATGTCATTATTCTATATAATCATATGATAAATATGATTTTAATGACTTTTCAATATTTAGCAAATATTTAATGTGGTCCCTAAAACATTGTGATCTGGGAATAGATTGTTTGGTTGTCGGAGCAGCTCTTTTATTATTATCTCTAATATTATTTAAATAATATGATATTAATTAAAAAATAGAAAGGGAATATAAAGACAATTTTTATTTAAAAAAAAATTATTCACATACTTCGAGTAAATCCACTTTAATTTGATTTCAAAAATGTATTAGTTGATTTTAGTTGACTTTAGAAATATTTGCCGATTTAGTCAGCAGTCAAATTATTTAATAACACTATTTTTTAGTGTAGAAATTTTAGCATAATGCTCATAATCTCTAATAAATAATAATTTAAAACTTAATGAGTTACAATGTATGTTGAGAGCCCAATTTTTGAATTTAAATTTCAGTTTTCGTCGTAAGTACCTGGATTTAAAATTTCTCTATTTGTTCCACATTTGTTTTATCTTCAGAAATTAATAAAGTGAAAGTCATAGTTTAAGTTTTCCTCTCCCTAACCAAAATTTCCTTCCCAGTTGAATGCATAGTTGTTAAAGACTTTGTAATACATATAATACAAAAATATTAAATAATATTAAATAAAAAAAAAACAGGATGGCATAAGAATCAGATAAAATGGACATTCGTGGCTAAGCGACAGAGATTATCAAATCAAAAAAATAGATAAAATGGGCAGTTATAAAAAGTACAAAAATAAGCGACAGAGATGAGTTATCAAATCAGAAAAAAATTATCTGGCTTTAGTTAAGTAATTTTGGCCTAAGATTACTTAACTTCTTGATTTTACCTTAGTGTTCTGTAAAGTATGTAAAAAACAGAAAAAGTTATTAAAAATGTCTTAACAGTATTTCTATTCCACTTAATGAAAATATATATTTAACAAGGAAAGATAGATCTTTTATTTATTTATTTGTTTTTTTTTTGAAGATTAAAGCGTTTATAGAAAAAAATTACTATTATCTTTAAGTGAATTTTTATACTTTTTATGCGGAAAACTTTTTTTTTGTGATCAACTCATGAAATCACTCTTACATTGAATGAAACAACTGTGAACATGTCTAGGTTTGAGATAAAATAATTATGAAGTCTACTATAGGTTAGTTCAGTGATTTTTTTTCTCTTTGTTTTTTTTTCAAACCACACTTTAGGTAGGCAATCTTGTGTACTGGTGGCAGAAAGAATTTGATTTTACAAATTTTTTATTCAATTATTATTGATATTAGAACATATTATCCATCAAATAAAAGCTTTGTCTGTTGTAAACATTTTAAGAATTGAAAGCTTTTAAAATATGTAATATTTTTGAAATAATATGTGACTTGATATAATATTTGACTTGTTGTTTTTATGAAAATGATTTTTTTTCTCTTGGATCTTTAAAAAATTTTCATTGGTGTTTTTTTTAAAAGTAAGGGTCAGTGTGATTTCAGAAAACTATAACATGACCCTAAGACATTATTTTTGGTTTAAATTTACTACTTCTAGGATATGCATATGTTTGTAGACCATACTATCTAATATCATGTTTGATAGTAAAACTATTTTTTAACTTTTAATTAATAGTATTCTATATGAAAAAAAATAGTAAAATTTTTTTTATTAAATATATGTAAAAATATACAAGTCTTAAATATGTTTTTAGAGAAACGAACAGATCAAACTGGGCGTGTGTATTTTGTAAACCATAACAGCAGAAAAACACAATGGGAAGATCCTCGAGCATCTGGGTATAAATTATTATTTAGTGTTCTTGCGTATTTTTTAAAACTTCCAAGTTTACAGTTGTTTGCGATTGTTTTTAGATGTGTTTTAAAGTTAGTTTAAATAAAAAATGCATTTAAAATATTTGCAATTAATTTTAAAATATTTTTAAAACGTAAGCAAATTTTCACAGGCACAAATTATTTAGTATATTTAATATATTAAAACAAAATATTTAAATTATTTAATATTTAACACATTTAATTTGGCTGAAGTCAAAAACACATTTACAAAATTATTATTATACTTGTTATATTCCAAGTAACAAATTTCATAGTTCGTATATGCGTATATGCGTAACGTTTTATTGGTTACTATGATTTAAAAAAAAAAAGTTTCTTTTTTTATCTTCGAAATCAACTTAAACTTGCATTTGGTTTACAAGAACACATTTAGTTAACACATTTGGTTAACACATTTGATCACATTTGGTTAACAAGAATGATCACATTTAGTTAACACATTTGATCACATTTGGTTAACAAAAATGATCACATTTAGTTAACACATTTGGTTAACACATTTGATCACATTTGGTTAATAAGAACGATCCCATTAGTTAACACGTTTGGTTAACACATTTGATTACATTTGGTTAACAAGAATGATCATATTTAGTTAATACATTTGATCACATTTGGTTAACAAGAATTACGAGTCAAACTTTAATAATTAAAAATAATAAAATAAACAACAAGTTTAGAGACAATCATTAAAAATAAAAATATAAGTTTAAAAAGTATTAAAAATATTAACTTATAAGGAGAACTTATAAGTTAATATTTTATTGACAGTCTGAATAATAAGAAATATAAGTTAATATTTTATTGACAGTAGGAATAATAAGAAATATAAGTTAATATTTTCTTGACAGTATGAATAGTAAGAAATATGTCAAATTTATAATTTTTGGAACTTTCTTTTTAAAAGCATAATAGTTGAAGCAAAAAAAAGTTTTAAGAATATAAGACCGAATTTATAAGAAAATTAAGAAATAATGATAATATACGTATATGTATTGTAAAATTTAATGACAATCATTTTTTTTGGTGGATGATAAAAAAATAATGTGGAGGTAAAAAAAAAAAGTAAAAAAAATAAAGAAAATTTTTTTCTTTATTTTTTTTTACTTTTTAACTGTTTCAGTTTAATAAGTAAAAACAGTCTTTGTCTCCAGCTGTAGTAAATTTGAAGACTCGATTATGAAGAAGAGTTGGCTATTTTTAAATTCACAGGTCACACCAAATCTGTTTGAGAATGGTATTCTTCAAAAGGTTTTTTCTCTTTAGATTCATGCAAGCATGTCATTCAGCTAGTTAAAAAGCTTGAACAATGACTGCATAGAAATAAATTAGTTTAATTGAAAACTTTATTTAAAATTAACACAATGAAGATCAAAAACAGAACATTCTTTTAGTAATAAAAGAACATAAAAAGCTTATAACAAAATGTATGTTTCTATTGGAACTGGTAAAGTTGAAACCTACAGTTGTAAAATTAATGTATGATAATGGTTACCTGTAACAGTGTTTTAGTATTAAACACAAGTTTTATTATAAATAACTCACAACAAAGACATAAAGTTAAGCCAATTCTCAATATTTTGAAAAATTACATGTACCACATGGACAAAAACATTTTAAAATTTGTATTTAATCTTATTAAATGTAGTAAAAATTGTAAGCAACTGCAATTTTTGAAATTTTAAAGTTTTCGGGTTTTGACCCTATTTTGTGTGTTTGTAAAGTTTTTCAGAAATTTTATTAAACATCTTTAAATTATTAGATCAGAAATGTTAGATCAGAAACCTTTACCTCCAAATTGGGAAATGAGGTATACTCCAGATGGTGTACCATACTTTGTTGATCACAACACAAGGACAACATCTTTCAATGGTAATTTTTATTTTATTTTACTATAAAAATAATAAATTTGTTTTACTTTATTAATTAGTTGTTTATTTATTCAATTTTTTTTTCTTTGAATATAGATCCGAGAACCGGCCTGCCTTTAGTTCAGTAAGTTTTAAATTTTTGTTTTAGTTCAGTAAGTTTTAAATTTGTTTTAGTTCAGTAAGTTTTAAATTTGTTTTAGTTCAGTAAGTTTTAAATTTGTTTTAGTTCAGTAAGTTTTAAATTTGTTTACTCAATTTAGAAGTTTCAATAATGCATTTTTGTTTATTGGATATTCAAAATTCAAATTTTTAGAGCAGCTGGTGCTATAGCATACGAAAGAAGTTTTCGTTTTAAGTTAATGCAGTTCAGACACCTTTGCCAAGTATTTATTTTTTTGAATATTTTTTTAAAAATTTATTTTTATTTTGTTTTTAGAACCATTTATAATACAAAAAAATTTTTTGTTTGTATATACAAAGTTAGTTCTTAAACATTTGTTCAAGTATGCAAAAATTTACTATTTAGCCTCTTCTCATTTAGTATGCCAGTGTGCTGCACATACCACCAACCAGAAAAATATTTTCTGTTTAAGAGAATATTATACATCGCTTTTCATTTACAGATAAATTGTATTTATTACTACAATTTTTTTTTTTTTGTTTCATTATAAATATCTCTTTTATTAAAAACTTCTAAGTTTTAAGTTTATAAAATTTTTTGTTTGATAATAACATGAATCAAATTAACTGATTAACAGAACAACATGAATCAAATTAACTCTGGGATTTACATAATGATATTTCAAGCCATAGGCGCATTGAAGTGTACAATTTTTACTGTATTCACTTTTCCAAGACCAAGAGGCAAGTCTCAATTGTCTCAACAATCAATTTATAAACTCAAAATTTTTAATTTATAAATTAAAAATATTTACAAACTCAAAATATTTAATTTATAAATTAAAAATATTTGCAAACTCAAATTATTTAATTCAGGCCTCGGCGGGAAGCGAGAGCTTTAGCTCCCACACTCCCCTAAAACAGTTTACAGGAGCAATTTTTTTTTATTTTGATTCACCTCCTCAAGGCCGAGAAGGCCACTACAGACGAGGAGGCTACTTATTTGTGGCTATAACCCTCTCTCAACTCTATAACTCCGAAACACAAACCTTGACGAACAAGGCCGCTGCGCGGAGAAACGAGTTGAGCGCGGTACTACCAAGGGATCGAACTCGGAACCACTCGTTTATGAAGCGAGCGCTCTACCACTACACCACTACCGCATAATTTACGGCTCTCGCAAAAGTATAATTTTTCTCATGAAGGTATAATTATCGATGTAACTAAAATAAAAACCAAAATGTCATTAAAAAAAAATAAATTAAATAATATACTGCAAATACTTTTTAAAAGGCATCGTTGTTGCAAAAAAAATTAAAATTACAAAAGAGTGCTAATTTAAATGAGGAGCAGCTTGCACAGCTCCATAAATTCGTTTTAGGAGAGCTTTTCTCAGCTCTCGTGCTCACTTGCTCCCGCCGAGGCCTGTAATTTATAAATTAAAAATATTTACAAACTCAAAATATATTAGGTATTCTGAAATATCGATGTTGCAATATTTTTAGAACTCCCAACTTAAATATAATAATATATTAATATAAATAATATATTAATACAGTCAATATTGGTTAGTCAAGTAAGTTTATAGAATAATAATTGAACCTAATTGCCTGAAAAATATCTTGTTCATAATACTCTTTGCTTTACAAAGTATGTGCATGAGGTATTATGTATATATTAAATTATTATGTATGTATTAAATTATGTATGTGCATGAGGTATTATGTATGTATTAAAGTATGTGCATGAGGTCAAAAAACAAAAAAAAAACTTGTATTTTCATGATATAATAGAAGAAATTTGTGAATTTCAACTTTAAAAAAACCCAATTGCTTACTGCAAACAACTACCGTAATATGGTCAACATTCCTATATTAATGAATGGCAATCCTCTTACTGAGTCCTCCTCTTTATGTCTTCTTGGATTATCGCTTACTACTGACCTTTCATGGAAACCATATATACAATCGATTGCTAAATTAGCTTCTGCTAAGGTTGCTTCTCTTTATCGTGCTCGCCATTTCCTTACTTCTGATTCCATTCTCTACCTCTACAAATTTCTTATTCGTCCCTGTATGGAATTCTGTTGTCATATTTGGGCTGGTTCTTCTAGCGATTCACTTTCTCTTCTTGACAAGGTCCAAAAACGCATTGTAAATGTTGTTGGACCTGGACTATCTGCTAAGCTTGAGCCTCTTTCCCATCGTCGTAAAGTTGCATCTCTTTCTCTTTTCTACAGATACTATCATAGTCACTGCTCAAAGGAGTTATCATCTCTAGTTCCATCAACTAAAATTCATTCTCGTTTTACTCGTCATTCAGCTAAGTCTCATTCGTTTACTGTATCTGTCCCTGCATGCTCTAAAAACTTTTATTTGTCTAGTTTTTTTCCCCGCACTTCAATCCTTTGGAACTCTCTCCCATCTTCATGTTTTCCTGACTCATACAACCTTCAACTTTTCAAGTCTTCTGTCAACTGTTTCTTTGCTCTATAACTCTGTTCTTTTTTTTTCCTAGTAACTCCCAACTTAATAGTGGTTGCTTGCAGCTTTGTTGGGAGTGAATGCAAAAAAAAAAAATAAAATAAAGGATAAAAAGGACTGAAGAATAATAGATAGTAGGTTAAGAGTAGGTACTAGGTTGGGAGTAGGCCTTAGGTACAATTTTCTTGACTTAATGATTTGTATTGGGTGATGATTGTTGTCTTGCCATTTCAAGAATTATTTCTCATTTATCAGTATTACATACTGCTTGGTAAATACTGCAGTTCTTTCAACTGTAGTATGATGTTGTCAGCTTTCAGATAAGAATGGCCTTTTTCCATAAATTTTTGTTCCTGTATGTTGTATACATACTTGCTTCCAAAATATATATTGGTTTCCTTTTTTTTCCATCAGATTTTTTATTGTATCTGGTTACTATCATCCTTTTTTTTTTTTTACATAAATTTAATGGCATTTACCCTATAAGTAGCGATATCCTTTTTTTCATTCTTCATAAAGTTAAAATAATGAAGTTTTTTTTCTAGCTGTAAGACAAGTTTTGTATGCTTCAAATAAATCATTTTTTTTTAAGGTCTGTAAAATTTTTTTTTTTTTTGTGGTCTGTAAAACAATGTGCCAATTGTTGTTTTTATGCAGCAAAACAAAACAAAAACAAAAAGTTCAATGCATATTTTAAATAATATAACAAATAGATTGCATGATGTACATATTTTTTCAGAATATAAAGTTTATTTTTTATTCTAAAAAAGGATTTACTCAATGCCGTTTATTTTGTACAATGGCTATTGTAGAATACTTTCTGTAAATTTACTTGCCAACATGTTTTTTTTCTTTAACACATTCCTTGTGGATACATTTTGAAGCAGCTTTGCAAGGACAAATATAAGGTTAATTTTAAATTTTAGTTGAAATACTAAAATACAGATGAAATACTAAAATATAGTATCTGTATCTTAGTATTTAACATTATATATATATATATATATATATATATATATATATATATATATATATATATATATATATATATATATAATATTAAATACTAAAATACAGATGAAATACAGAGACACAGAAAAAATAAACCATGTCATTACACCAACCAGTGCAAGACAAACTGTTAAGTAACCTTCAGAAAACTTGCTAGTACATATCCTGCATGCAATTTGTTTACAGCCCCTTGGTTGGATCATAACATTTTTGCAAAACTGAGCTTAGGTGACAAACATGTTATATGCTCTTCTTAAAAAAAATGTGGTTCTATGACTGAAAAAGACGCAGTATGCTCTTTTACTTTATTCTCCTTGCCATATATATTTGTGATTTATCAACTTGTTTGTCAAAAGACAATGTTGGTATTTGTAATTTCTTAGTTTTTAAGATATAAAAATGCAACACAAAAAAATTTCTGGCAATTCAAATATATTTTTGAATCTTAAAAATTTTTTTATCATTACCTGTAGCAGTAAGATTGCAGGTTTCTCCGCCTCTCAGCAAATCCTCAGCCAACTCAGACTGTGAGTAGATTATAAAAAAAACTATCATTTAATACACATTAGCATAAAATACCTAACATGTCATTATGTTAGGTATTTTATACTAACATATTGCTAAAGTAGTTATTTTAATAATTTATTTATCAAAAATTATATATACCTTCAGACTAATAACCTTCAGAGGTTATTTGTCTGTTAGTCACTGTTAGTTAATACAACTATCGAACTGCAAAAAAGAAAATATGTACACTCCATTTTCCCCATACTCATTCAAGTAAATCGATATATGCGACTATGGCTGAAACAGTCAATTTATGTTATTATATATTTATATTGTTATATATTTATATAATTATATATTTATATTATGCATTTGATTAATTTTGTTTATTTTTTTGGGTTTTTTTTTGGTTATTATTATTATTGTGCAGAGATTTAATAAAATATAAATAATAAATAAATATAAATAATAAATAAATATAGTTACAAATGATTTTCTGTATAATGTCACATTTTTTGTAAACAACATGCGAGGGCATACTTGTAAGCAGAAAACATTAAAACTTTCAAATTATACATTCATCTGTTCATAATATAAATACACTTTATAAGTGTTTTTTGCATTTCTTTGATAAGATTTTGACTTCTTTTTTATTGTCCTCTTTTTAAAAAAATGATTGAAGTAATTAGCTACATTTAAATTTTGTTTTTGAAAAATTATTGTTACAATTACATAAATAATTGGTTACATTTTTTATTGTAAAAATAAAAGTTTTTTTATTATTATTATTATAAACTTTGATTATTATTATTATAAACTTTTATTATTATTATTATAAACTTTTATTATTATTATTATAAACTTTTATTATTATTATTATAAACTTTTATTATTATTATTATAAACTTTTATTATTATTATTATAAACTTTGATTACTATTAAAACTTTTATTTTTTCTGCAAATTTTATATACAGGTTGATCTCATTTAATAACAAAAAATTACAATAACAAAAATTACAATAACAAAAATCACAATAACAAAAATTACAATAACAAAAAAATTACAATAACAAAAAATTAAAATAACAAAAATTCTTATAAGCTTTTTCAATTCATAATGCTTTTAAAATCTTTTGAAATTTAATAAATAACAACATAATTAAATATTTTTAAGTACTAGTAATTTAGCATCCAAGGTTCAGTGGTTAGAGAATATTGCCAATTGTACAAATCTACAGAAAGTGGTAGCAAAGTGGTAGG